CAATATACTTAGCACATCATAAGTGCTTAAATATTAATATTAGGGTGATTAAACTTTAGCTTTAGATTTAACTCTACATATGTGACCTGTAACAGTGCTTTTCAACTGGGTCTCAACCCATATGAAATCAATTGTGAAGGTCACCAGAGTTTTAAAAAAATAGAATAGAAAATGCCAGAGAATGCCATAGACACAAATGTAGGTATTGTCTTGTGAAGCATTGTTTTAATAATGTGGGGGGGGCAGGTATGGAGGCTCATGCCTGTCATCCTAGCAAGCTGGGAGGCCAAGGGGGGAGGATTGCTTGAGCCCAGGAGTTTGAGGTTGCAATTAGCTATGATGATGCCACTGTACTCTAATGCAGGTGACAGAGCAAGATCCTGCCTGCACCCCAAAGAAAAAAAATTATGTGTGTGTGTGTATACTGGGTTGCTGTAAAATATACTTCTTATTGTGAGTCACAGTCAAAAAAAGTGGAAAAACAGCACTGTAATGCACCTGCATTAATTCAGTCAGCTGATTAAAAGCTCCTTAACAACAGAAAGCAGGTCTGCCAGGTCATAACCTTATCACTAGTGAAAGACTACTCCCTCCTTTGAGTTCCACTCATTCCAGGAAGCTACCTTAGACACTAAAATAGAGACTCAAGGCAAACAGCGATGACCTGTCATTAGGTGAGCATCTCTTCTATTAAGACAAACAGAAAATACACTCATGAAGAAACTGTACAAATACTAGAGAAAGCAGCTGTGGAACTGCAGAATACGCTTGGAATTCAGAGCCAAAAGACCTACATTAGAGTGCTTGCTTTGCCATTTATTAGCTGTGGGATGTTGGATAAATTGCTTGATTTCTCTGAGCTTCAGTTTAACCAACTAAAGAATAATATATACCTCACCTCACATAATTGTGTTAAAATTAAGTAATATGTATATAACAAGATTATTTTATAAACTATAAAGATGTTTTAGGTCAAAGTCTGAATATGTTCTTAAGTAAACAAATGAAAATTGATGTGGTACAAATTATACAGTTAAATGTATACTAGGCATGATTTTTGTCTTCTTTTGTTTTCTTGATTTCTAGTAATAGAAACCCAATTGAAACTGGTTGTGCTCAAAAAGAACTGGATCACTCACATAACTGGGTAAACCAATCATACAGGTAGCCTTGGGCAGAGCTGAATCTGGGGACCCAGATAATACCACCAAGCCACTGTCTGTTTCTAACTCTGTCTTACTCTTTGGTCTCTGCTTTAGAATCCATGTGGTTTTATTCAGGCAGGTCTCTCTGCATGGTAGAACAATGGCCACCATCTGCTCTGAACGGACTTGATCCATGCAGATAGCAGGGCAAGATTATCTCTTTTCCTAGTCTTCAGCAAAAGTCCCAGGGAGGGCTGCTTACTACCTAGGGTTATAAGCTAAGTCCCAAACCAAAAACAGTGGCTACGGGTGCCTGGGACACAAGCTGATCCTTGGAGGTAGGGTGTGGGGTCAGGCCTATGTGAGTTACCTTGACTGAAAAAGAGGTTGGTTAGGGGAGTCTTCTCAAGGGGCAGGGTCAGAAATTCAGAATGACTGAGCTTCTACTACTGAATAGGGGTAGTACAGAAAGACTCCTGTAGTCAAGGACACTACTCATCTTGCTGTTAATCTCTTCTGTTTAATTTCATCATACACCATTGACATAAGGACACATGAACACATGTTTGTTCCCTTTACTTTCATTCATTTAACAAATCCACTATAGAGACTCTACTATTTGCCAGCCACTATTCTAGGCACTGGGATTTAGCCATGATCCACACATAACAAAGTTCCTATTCTGTAAAAACTTACATTCTATGAGGGACATAGATAATAACCAGTCAATAAGTATACATCAGGGAGTGATAACTTTGATGAAAAAATACATTTATTTAATAAAAAGCAGGAAATGGAGCAACAAGACCTAGAGGTGGGAGATAAGGACTATTTCAGAAGGGATTGTTAGGGAAGACCTTGCTTTGTGACTTTGAAGCATAAATCTGACTGAAGTAAAGAGCAAGTTATATGAATATCTGTGGAAGAACTCAGGCAGAGGGAACAGCAAGTACAAAGACTCTGAGACAGGGCCAATAGCGTCACTGAAACAATACATGTACATTCATTAGCATAAATACTTGCATTTGTATGTAAGCATGTTAACCATTTTTTTGGTACATTAAAACGATTTTTCTGACAATGATATCAAACTACAAAATCATTGAGAGCTTTCTAATATTGATTCAACTTGGTAGGACGCTTAGGAGTCCTGCTGAATGCACAAATGTACCTAAATTGACAGTACTTCAAGGCAAGGGCTTCCTGCCTCTGATAGGAACTGAATGCAGGGGAAGCTCAGTCAGTGGTGCTAGTGGAACTGCGTCCCCCCTCCACCCCAGTGAACATCAATACTGACGGTAGTGCTCCCAGGTGACCCTACCAAAGCTGCGTGAGGAGAACTTTCCTCAAAGGGTTTCCTTACTCTGTCCTTTTGCTCTAATTGCTGTGGACGTGCCAGGCAGCACAACGTGGCTCCTGAGGGTGGTTCCTGCTGACTTAGCACAAAGTAAAAATTCCTCTGATCTCAGGCCTTAGCAAGGGTTATGTTGCTGGGAAGAGGAAAAACCTGGGGTGAGGCGCATGTGTGGAGGGTGGAAGAGGGTGGCAGAAGTCAGAAGGCAAGAGGCCCGCCCTCCCTGGGGTCCTGACTGCCCTGAACTTGGACCCCTATAATCAATCCCTACAAGGCAAATGCTGTTCACCTAATGATGCCTTTATCTTTGAATTGCACTGACTTCTGTTTGATGTGAATGCTTTGCTGTCTACAGTAGTTCTGGATTGTTCTACCTTTTTATTGTCACATGACAAGTCTTTGCTTATCTGTTTTTTTTTTTGTTTGTTTGTTTTGTTTTTTTTGAGACAGAGTCTCGCTTGGTTGTCCAGGCTAGAGTGATGCCGTGGCGTCCTAGCTCACAGCAACCTCAAACTCCTGGGCTCCAGCGATCCTTCTGCCTCAGCCTCGACGTAGCTGGGACTACAGGCATGCGCCACCATGCCCGGCTAATTTTTTATATATACATATCAGTTGGCCAATTAATTTCTTTCTATTTATAGTAGAGAACGGGTCTCGCTCTTGCTCAGGCTGGTTTTGAACTCCTGACCTTGAGCAATCCGCCCGCCTCGGCCTCCCAGAGAGCTACGGATTACAAGGCTGAGCCACCAGCAGCCCGCTGCATTATCTGTTTTATTAATTTTTATACACTCTAAATTGTTAAGCCATGTTCATGAATAATACATTCACATGAACAATTAATTCACTGTCTACCTCAATTGCCCATTACAAACAGGTACTGATAAATGCCTTTTTTTTTTTTTGAGACAGAGTCCCGCTTTGTTGCCCAGGCTAGAGAGAGTGCCGTGGTGTCAGCTAGCTCATAGCAACCTCAAACTCCTGGGCTCAGGTGATCCTTCTGCCTCAACCTTCCGAATAGCTAGGACTACAGGCATGCACCATCATGCCTAGCTAAGTTTTTCTGTGTATATTCGTTGGCCAATTAATTTCTTTCTTTTATAGTAGAGACGGAGTCTTGCTCTTGCTCAGGCTGGTTTCAAACTCTTGACCTTGAATGACCTACCTGCATTCGGCTCCCCAGAGGCTTTAGGATTACCCCAGGTGTGGAAGCCACCGCCACCCGGGCCGATAGCCTTTGATTTGACTTTTGATGATGTAATATGGGAAAATTTTCAAAGGGCTACCTTTTGTATTGTTGGAATATTTAAGAACCTCTGGAAGATTTGCTTAACCTCCTTTTTTCAAAATTTTGGTCACTTTGAAAAAACTTTTGGTTTCAGCCAGGCATGGTGGCTCTGGACTTTAATCCTTAGCACTCTGGGAAAGGGGGCAGGTGGGATCATTTGGAGTTCAGGAGTTCAAGGCCAAAACCTGAGCAAACAAGATCCTGTTCTCTACTTAAAAAATATATATTAGCCGGGGGCAACCGTGGTCACACCTGTAAATCCTAGCACTCTGGGGAGCGGGGGGCGGCGGATTACTTGAGTCAGGAGTTCAAAAACCCCCCCGGCCCTGGGCCAAAAGGACCGGAGCCGGGTCCCTCTATTCATAAAGAAAAAAGAAATTTAAACTGGCATAATATATTTATAAGGAAAATTCAGCCGGCAATGGTGGCCCATGGCCTGTAGTTTCCCCCGCTAACTTTGGAGGTGAGAGAGAGATTTGCTTGAGCCCCCAAGGAGTTTGAGGTTGCTGTTGAGCTAAAACTGGATGCCCTCACGGCCACCTCAGGTCTAACCTGGGAAAAACAAAGGAGACACTTTCTCAAAAAAAAAAAAAAAAATATATATATAAAGAAATTACCTTGACAACTAAAAATATATATAGAAAAAATTAACCAGGCACGGTGGCACATGCCTGTAGTCCCAGCTACTTGAGAGGTGAGACAGAAGGATTGTTTGTCCCCGGAGTTTGAGGTTGCTGTGAGGTAGGCTGACACCCCGTCACTCTACTCAGGGCAACGAAGTGAGACTTGTCTCAGAAAAAAAAACTGGTTTCAGGCAAATTGTCCTGAAACCTTTCAGTTTGATGGTCAGGAGATCAAGGTTCTAATCTTAGATTCGTAACAACTTATGTGTAACCCTATGCTTCAGTTTCACAATCTTCTGGTGCAACTCAGAAAAAGTGCCCAGGGTTTGCCGGTAGAGAAGATAGGTAAAATGAGAAAGTACAGTGGAAGGGCTTTAAACATAGCACATAACGGTTCTATCAGAAGTCTGTACCTTGTTTCTTTCAGGGCCAACCCTCTAAGACATTGTTTTTTTCTCCCCACAAACAACTCTTCCTCTAGGATGTCCAGGCCCTGGTATGAGGATGAAGAACCACCCTAGGGCATCATGTTTTGCAGAGATTCCTCCTGATGATGCCCTTACTCATCTTTTCCACTTGCTTTTTCATTATAGGCCTTCAACAAGCTACTCTTCTAAGCCTGAGGCCTCATTCATATTCCCCTTGTCTTCCTTCCAGGAGAAAGACTCTGAGGGAGGAGGTAAGATGCCTAGAGTGCCAAAGATGGTGAAGAATCACATAGTGAGCCCCAGAAACCTCAAAAGACAGAAAAGGAGTGGGAAAAAATGAATTGGTGAATTGAAGATCTCGAGTTGTAAAATGAAAACAAAACAACCAACTTCAAAATTAGCTTTAAAAAAAATAGTACCTTTATGATCTTAATATAGAACTTTAAAAATCAAATTATGAAAAAGCAGAAGTCACAATGCACAATTTTCATAAAGTTGATTCTGATAAATATTAAAAATTCCTGTCTAAAACATATCTTTAACAAGGTTAAAATATAGGTGATAGGGAGCTAGGCATAAAATGTCTGCCACAGCTATATCTGGAAAAGACTGGTAGCTAGTATTTGTGAAGGACTCCTACAAACTGATAATAATAAAGAAGACAAGCCAACAGAAAAATGGACAAAAGGTATAAATAGACAGTTCCCAAAAGAAATCCAAATGACTAGTGATAATATCTAAATATTAAATATCTAAATAATAAAATCCATTCTACCTCTCTAGTAATCAGGAAAATACAAATTAAACTGACAAAGAGATTTATTTCCCAGGTATTAGACTATCAATAATCTAAAAGTCTGGCCAGGTACAGTGGCTCACACCTGTAATCCCAGCACTTTGGGAGGCCAAGGCAGAAGGATCACTTGAGGCCAAGAGTTCAAGAGCAGCCTGGGCAATATAGCAAGACCCCAACTCTACAAAAATAAAAATAAAAAATTTAGCTGGGCGTGGTGGTGTATACATTATAGTCCTAAGAGGGAATAGGATCCCTTGAGCCCAGCAGTTTGAGCTATGCAGTGAGCTATGATGGTACCACTGCACTCAAGCCTTGGTGACAGAACAAGACTCTCTCTCTAAAAACACCAAAAATACTAAAAGTCTCACCATTTTAAGTCTTGGTGATGAAGTACAGAAACTAGGACTCATACCCTGCAAAACTGGCACAACCACTTTGGAAAGGAACTTGAGAATATCTACTCAAGTTAAAAATGCACCTACCCTTTGGTCTGGAAAGTCTACTTCCAGATATATACCTTAGAGCAGCAGTCACCAACTCTTTTGGCACCAGAGACTGGTTTCATGGAAAACAATATTTCCACAGACCCTGGGGCAGTTGCGGGGTGGGGGGAAATGCTGAGCAATAGGGAGCTGCTATAAATACAGATGAATCTTTCCTGACTCACCTGCTCACCGCTTGCTGTGCGCCCCAGTTCCTAACAGGCCATAGACAAGTACCAGTCAGTGGCCCCAGGGTTGGGGACTGCAGCCTTAGAGTATTGTTTTTCAATCCATCTGTGGGTCATGAAATCAATTTAGTGGGTCATGTCCAGCATTTTACAAAAATGAAATAGCATAGAATGCAATATCATAGGAAATAGAGTGCCTGTAGCAAGGGCAGGTATTATTTTCTTAAACTTTTATTTTATACATGAACTGGGACTTAATACAAAATATGTATCCATAGTGGCTTGGAAGAAAAGCTCTGAGCCTGAGTAACATGGCAAGACCCCATCTCTACAAAAAAAAATTTTTTTTAATTAGCCAGGCATGATAGCATGCACCTATAGTCCCTACTACTTTGAGGCTGAGGCAGGAACAGTGCTTGAGGCAAAGAGTTTAAGGTTGCAGTGAGTTTTGATAATACCACTACACTCTAGTATTCCAGGCAACAGAGATTCTGTTTCCAAAAATAAAAAACAAAAAAACTTAAAAACCTTTGAAAATATTAAACATCATTTAAGAGAAATTCTCATATATTACCACAAGGAGACATGTTCCAGGATTTTCTCTACAATAGTGTATTTGTAATAATGAAACATTTAAGACAATGTAGATGCCTATCAGTGTTACATTAATAAACAAATAGGGGTATAGTCATGTGATGTAACACCACACAGCAGTTATAATTAATGAACATGATCTGTATGAATCTGTATAAATGAAATTTCAAAATAAAGGGAAACAAAACAAGATACAGAAAAATAAGTGCCACATGAAACCAATTAAATGAATTTTTAAATGCTCAACATCACTAATCATCACAGAAATGCAAGTGAAAACCATAATCAGATACCATCTTACACCAGCCAGAATGGCCATTACTAAAAATCTAAAAACAATAGATGTTGGTAAGGATGCAGAGAAAAGGAAATGGTTATACACTGCTGGTGGGAATGTAAATTATTTACAACTTCTATGGAAAGAGCATGGAGATTTCTCAAAGAACTAGGTTCAATCCAGCTATCCCACTACTGGAAATCTACCCAAAGGACAGAAATCATTCTATCAAAATGATACCTGCATTCACATGTTTATCACAGCACTATTCACAGCAGCAAGGATATGGAATCATCCATTAACTGATGATTGAATAGAGAAAATGTGATATATATACCATGGAATACTATTTAGCCATAAAAAGCAATGAAATTGGCTGGGTGCAGTGGTTCATGCTTATAATCCCAGCACTTTGGTAAGCTGAGGCAGGACGATCTCTTGAGGACAGTTCAAAGCCAGCCTGAATGACATAGTCTCTATAAAAAATAAAATTAAAAAAAATTAGCCAGGTGTGGTGGTGAGTACCTGTAGTCTTACCTACTTGGGAGGCTCACTTGAGCTAAGGAGTTCAAGGCTGAAGTATGACTGCACCATTGCACTCCAGCCTGGGCAACAGAGAGAGAGAGATCCTGTCTTTAAAAAAAAAAAAAAGAATAAAATGATATATTTTGCAGCAACATGGATGGAACTGGAGGCCATTATCTTAAGTAAAATATTAATAACTCAGAAATAGAAAGTCAAATACCGCATGTTATCACTTATGAGGGGGAGCTAAACAATGAGTACACATGGAACAGGGAGTGGAATAATAGACATTGGAGACTCGGAAGGGAGGATGGGAGAGTAGAAGAGAGGTGTGAGATGAGAAATTACCTAATGGGTACTATGTATGCTCATTTGGTTAGAGTCACACAAAAAGCCCAGACTTTGCCACTATAAAATATATACATGTAATAAATCTGCACATGAATCCTATAAATCTATAAAAATAAATAAAGTTTAAAACATTAAAAAATACCTTACCAGGTGTAATGGCATAAACAGGTAGCTACTTGGGAAGTTGAGGTGGAAGGATTGCTTGAGCCCAGGAGTTTGAGGCCAGCCTGGGCAACATATCCAGACCCTGTATCTTAAAGAAAAACAAACCATATACTATTTGTTTGTATACACACATAGACACACACACACATACACTCTCACAGAGTTAAAAGTGGACTACTATACAGGGGCTGTTTAAAGGGAAAAAGGCTGGGAACAGTGGCTCATGCCTATAATCTTAGCACTTTGTGAGGCTCAGTTGGGAGTATTGCTTAAGGTCAGGAGTTTGAGACCACTTTGGGCGATGGACGCCCCCATCCACAAAAAATTAAAAAATTAACTGGGCATGGTGGTACATGTCTATAGTCCCAGCTACTGGGGAGGCTAAGCCAGGAAGATCTCTTAAGTCCAGGGGCTTCAGGTCACGGAGAGCTATGCTGATGCCACAGCACTCTAGTCTGGAAAAGAGAGCAAGACCCTGTCTCAAAAAAGCAAAACAACAACAAAAACTAAAACTAGAAATAAAGTGAGGGAGGAAAGAAAGAGAATGGGACTTGGCTGGAGAAAATAGTTATGATAGTATATATTAATTTTGGGTGGTAGATACATACATGAATATTATAGTATTCTTAGTTATTTTCCTTTTACAACATTTTTAGCACATAAGAAAAAAGAAATGGAATTAAGTTTTTTTGGAATAAGATTGAATCATGCTCAGAGGTCTGACAGAGTGTCAGAAAACTGTCTTAACCATTGGTTATTAAAACTTTTTCATGGCTAGGTGCAGTGGCTCACACCTATAATCCTGGCACTCTAGGAGTCCGAGGTGGAGCATTGTTTAAGCTCAAAAGTTTGAGGCTAACCTGAGCAAGTGTGAGACCCCGTCTCTTCAAAAAAGAAATTAAAAAAAAAAAAATCCATCTGGGTGTTGCGGCACCACGTGTAATCTCAGCTACTCTCTACTCGGGAGGGTGAGGCAAAAGAATCTCTTGACCCCAGGAGTTGGAGGTTGCCATGAGGTATAGTGACACCACTGAACTCTACCCAGGGTAACAGAGTGAGACTCTCTCTCAACAACACACACACACAAAACAAGGAAACTGACCACCCCTCCTCACAACCTTCTACCCCTTCATATAAAAACAAACAAACAAACAAACAAAAAAGAATTTCAAACCACACAATCCAAAGCATAATCAAAGTTCATCTTTGACCTGCCGTGAAGAGGGAAGCATATGTATCTGCCACTCCTGTTAGGTGAAAGCGGCAGCCTTGCAAAAATAACTGGAAAATACCTAACCCCCCCCATCTCCCCAGTAACAAAGATCAATCCTATGACTTTTCTCACTAACACCAGTGCCGTGAGCACCTACTAGCCTTTCCACCCTAACATGAGGGACAGAGAAACAGGTCAGAGGTAATGGAATGAAAGGGGCAGAAAAACAAGAAGGAAGAAACAGTTATAGGAAAACAATAAGGAGGAAATAGTTACAGAAAAATAACCAGGGGAAACAGTTATTTCAGTCTTAAAGAGTAGGGTGATTAGACGATGGAACACTGACCACCAATTAGAAAATAGAAAAACACCGTAAATGGAGACTTTCCCCATCACATCATATCACATCATCATCACATCATATGTGAGAAAGGAATGACTGGAACATAACCTTAAGTTATGTCCACACCTGGAAAAATTCAGTCCCCAAAACCCATGACATATAGTCATAAGTAATTATAACTAACCTTTAGCATAAACTACTAACATATAAAAGGAGGAATTCTAAGACCAGCCTGAGCAAGAGCGAGACCCCATCTCTACTAAAAATAGAAAGAAATTAATTGGCCAACTAAAAATCTATAGAAAAAATTAGCCGGG